GTTCCATTTAAAAAATTCGAAGTGACCTTGCCTTGACCTTGACAACGCCACCCAAGGTCAAACCAATGATACCATTTTATGTCCCCCTGGAAGTCACAAAACATTTGTTTGAAACATTTTTCTCTAAAATGCACTATTCAAGAGAAATTTGAGGTTGTCATTTAAAATGGGACACCCTGTATATATATCTGTGTGTGATACAATTTTACCTGACTTTTTCCATCCTTTTCCTGAATCACCTTGCGATTACTGTGACAATCTTGTGAGTAGCATTATCTCAAATAGATTCATGGTATTATCCCAATGTTTCCGTAGTAGTAGCTAAAAAACTGGCCATGCAGGAATAAAAAGGATTAATGTATCTTGTTTTCTTTTGACGAGTTAAAAGTTGCAAAGCGCGATAAATCAATATAGCATAACCAGAATCTATTAGTCTTTTCTTCTAAAATATCAGTCAAGTGAATACATAGTAAGAAATACTATATGTGCATGAGAATAAACTCTATATGTATCATATAAGAATGCTGGATAATCTGATAAATACATTCCAGGGCTATTAATACATTATCAGGAAAATAGTCATCGAGAATAATTAATGCAGTGGGCAAAAGACATCACCACGATATAATTAAATAAAACTGCAGGTTTCTGAAGAAGAAAAATATATATACAGTCAAAATGAGACATTCGAATTAAAATGAGATATTTAAATTAAAAAGTAAAATTTCAAAAATTTTACCATACCCAGATACGATTTTCAAGAAATCTCAAAATTCTAGAATTTTTTCAAATAATAAATTGTACCGTACAAGACTTAAACAAAATTGAACTTACTTCCGCCTCTTACAAAAACCATGTAACATGCTATAATAACTGTTGGATAAGTTTTCCAGGTAAAAAAATCTCTTCGATTAACTGCTATATTGTTTCATCTCCCATCTTCTTCTTATATCTCATGCATCTGTTGTCTTTTCGTTTCCTTAATATAATATTTTTCTTCT